TCACCAAGAGCTCTGGCTCAACAGATTGCAACCAACTGTGAAGCATGGTGATTTCAGCGTGATGGTTTGGGGAGCTGTTTGGGTTGGTGGGAGATCGAGCTTAGTGGAGTGCTTTGGCAACATAAATTTTGCAAAATACGTCGAAATATTGGAGGAAGGACTCTTGCCATTTTATTCCTCGAGTTTCGTGGACAAGAACAAAACGTTGTTCCAGGAAGATGGAGCACCATGTCACACTGCTAGAAACACCCAAAAGTGACAGGAAGAAAATGGTATCCAGAAGTTGCCCTGGCCGAGCCAATCTCCTGACATGAATCCCATCGAATACCTCTGGGCCATACTCGACCGGCAAGTCAAGAAACAACCAAAAAAACCAACTTCAAAGAGCAATCTACTCCAAGTTTTGAAGCAAAAGTGGGCGAAAATCCCACAATCTAAAATTGACGAGATGATTCTCACGATGCCCCAAAGGATCAACGAACTCCACGAAGCGAAAGGAAGATCTACTAGATATTAATTAAATTCTAAATATATCAATTCATGTGAATATGACTGAAAATTTTCATTTTCGCTGAAAAGGTGGTGTCTATTTATTTGTGACTACGCTGTGCATGTGTGTGTGGCCTTACACTCATGTATGAACATTATATGTAATTACTATTGTATAAAATGGATCAATTACACAAGAATCCAAACTATTATAAACATATTAGGTTTAATGCGGTTACTGACTAGTAAGATATTATTTCAAGATACACTGCAAAGGTTAACTTCATTAATACTAATTACAGAATGTTTTAATTTCAACTTTGAAATATTTACGAGGTAGTGAATTTTTATGGAAGGATAATAGTAACAGAGAGACTCACACTACTTTTGAGAGAAGATACAGTTTTACCTATTACTTTTCAGTTGGAGTGTAGCAAGATATTTCAATTGGGTCTAACTGAAATATTCATCAGTGGGTGAAATCATCAGTCGCAAATAAAATTCACAGACAGCAGTTTAAATATCATAAGAAATGTAAAATTGATGTACTCAGTGTTTTATTTGGTTATAATGGAATATTTTCAATTAAGCACATTGTAATATTTTATAAGCAGACAGTTTTCTAAATATTTCCTTGACATTGCTTCAATACAAGATGCAGCTTAAGGCACATGAAAATTCAGGCTGTAAGTGTACCAGGGGGTCCCAGAAAGTACACACTGTGGAACTTTGTACACTGTATCCAGATAATGTTAAACCTGTATCTGGAAGAAAGTCACAAGGGAAAGATAACCCAAGTCAGCTCATGTGTGTAGGCACTAGTCTGTAGTCTCAATCCCATTCCTTTCCTACTGGAACTGAATACTGTTTATGTAACAACCGGGTGTAGTGGGTGGAATGGTTCGTTCTGGGTCAAATGGTAAGCTGTGTTGACTGTTATCACGAGAATGACAACAGGAGGCAGCACAGCTATAAGTATCGGTCAAACAATGATCCAACGAAGTCTAGAAACAAACAACTTAATAGGCATTGGGGATACATCTTCTATGAGCAAACAGACCATGAACATTCGTGAAGTCAAAAGAAATATCATCAGACCAAGGTAATCCATTAACTATCCTGCCTCTAAATATAGTTTTAGAGAAGAGTACGATTTCAACCAGGCAGCTACAACTTTCGTTACAACCTATACATCAGGCTATCTTTCTGACTAACTGGAATTTATCTGACCTTACATTTTCAACATATACTTTTGCTGCTCAAGATAAAATTATTGAGCATTTTGGCTATCTTTTTCTTCAATTACTCAGTGGCAATTTTCTGTTCTCTTGTACTAATATACTTGCATCGTTTTTTGAGCTGCATAATGTAAACATGTTGTGATGACCACCACTACACTCAGGCATGAAGGCGAAATTCCCCACTAACACAAATATTCCTAGAGCCAGCCTGACTTATAAATTGGTAGAGCCCATGGGTGACTATTTTTGCTTGCTGACACATTGAACATGTGGGATCTAACCAAGTTGGACTGACTCTGAATTATTCCAGGGCAAGACAGCCCCAGTCAAAAATGTGTCTCCTACAGATCCCCACCCCTTATTGCCAGTTAAGCCAAACGTGCAAATGCCTCAGCCACCACTGCAAACTGTAAAAAAGAAATCCTGGTCGACGTGTTGGTATTGGAAACCTCTCCTGAGGTGTTCCGTTGGACGGTGTTTAATTACAACCAGGAGATACCACCACATGTACACTCACCTCCAATGACACTACTACATCTCAGATCAAAAACGACTTTCCTAGAATTGAAGTTGCCTTGAGGGGTTGCTTAATGCTGGGAAGGCAGGAATAATACTTCCACAAATAAGCGTAAAAATAGCAGAGATTCCAATGGTTCCTACCACTGTGAGCAAGACCACTATCAGCAAGAATCAGTTGGCTGTGAAGGATTCACCACCTGCAGCACCACCACCACTGACGATGTTGAAGACCTTCAGAGTTATTGAAAGGGCCTCCACCTCCATGACCAGAAAAGTACCAAGCAAGGCTCCTTGGACCATAGTCGAGG